AGGTGGTTCAACTCCAGTGAAAAGGTAGAGAGCCTTTAATTCTTCGATGCATGTTTGTTCTGGTGAACCTCTATATCCAACTATTTTTCGTATTGCGTTCATCTGTTGCCATATCTTCTCCTCCCTAAATTCCTGCAATAAAAACAAAGTTCTGTGATAATTTCTAGGAAACTTAGAGGTGAATCTGTTCAATTATTTACAAAATTGACCAAATACCGGTGGCTCAAAGAGATAAGAATAATTAGCTCAGTAAAAACCTCATGTGTTACAACTAATGGTAATACCCTGGTCCTAACCTTATCTAAAGCTGTACCAAGGTCTTTTTGAGAAAATTGAGTGTGGTCTACAAAATTGGAGCGTTGATGGTGATCCAGATGACCTGATGACTGCTGACTTCCTGCTAATGGACCATAAATCAAACTTACGAAGATAGATTGAATGACATTCAAGAAAAATATGAAATATGATGCATAAAATTACCATCATAATTGTCATTATCTAGGTATGAGTATGACTGATTAGCTGTCTTTTCATGTTCCCACAAATCAAGTCCACCTTCATGAGTAGTTTCTTTTGTATCCTCATTGGAGGAAATCATTGTTCCCTTCTCCCAATTCACTTGAGAATCTTGTTGTGCATTTATTGCAATATAACCTGCTTCTTGAGTTGATACAGCACTGTCAATCGGAGGTTATAATGCATTTTTTAATACTAATTAATGTAAAAAGGGTTTATAATGCATTTTTAATATGTACCCTTAAAAAAATCTTTTATCAATTACTACTTCCATTCAAATTTAGTAATTCTAGTTTTACTTTTTAATTTTTTTACATAAATTTTAACTAAAATTTAATATATTATATGAATGATAACTAAAATTTTTTTATCAAATAAAAATAATTAGCAAAAACTATATATGTGAAAATAGTTTTCAATTATTGTATATATAAATTGTTAAATTTTTATTTAAAATTTACATTTGAAAAGTTAAAAAATTAGATGGATTACTAAATTTAAACGAACAAAGTAATTATTATGTTTTTATTTTATTAGAAAAAAATTAAGTTTAATAAAATTAAATAAAAACTAGAAAATATGGAACAACCTTATAATTTCTAACACTAATCATTATTTTAAGTCCATCATACATATTTAATTCTAAGTTGATCTCACGTTTATATCTATTAAATTTTTTTAAAAAAACCCATCATATCATTTAATGGATTTTTTAACTTATGTCTTAAAATACATATTAAGAATGTATTAATTACATATTTTTGCAATATTTTTTTTTTTAAAAAAAAAAGTAAAAGTAAATATTATTTTAAAACTTATTTCACATTGATGATTTTAAAATTAATTAGTTGATAATTTTAAAGTGAAGCTTCTATATTTTTATACAAATTAATTACAAAAATATAATTAATACATCTTTAACATGTACCTATATGTATTAATTTTATCTTCTTTTCATTCGTTTGTTTTAAAAGTACAAATGTTAACTTATTATTATTATTATTATAAAAGAATGATCTTGTATTTATAATAGAAGTAAAGTATTATAAAGCATCTTTAACCAAAAAGAGGCACACTAATAAATTTATAATTCTCATATTATAATATATAAGTTCCTCAAAGTGTAAAGTTGCCCAAAAAGAAAAAAAAAAAAAAACTTATAAAGAACACAACTAAAAGATATATGTGAAGACCTAGTTATTCTAATCTTCGAAGAATAGTTCCACTGCCATATCACCTCTTACGAATAGTAGCTTTGCTATGGCAATTACATGGAATGGAACATAAAAATGCCACCCCCCGGACGAACACCATCATCACAAATAAACCACTATTGTTGGTAATCACAATTAATTGAAACAAGCAGCACCTCACCAGCGACAAGCTTTGGACTCAC